GGAAAAAAATTGTAATTATTGTGTTATTGAAATCAGTAGAAAGAACTAAAGAAATCAACAACAAATATTTGCTAACAAAGTTGTGTTATCTATATGAGTATTAGTTTGAACAAAAAACGGTGTTCGAATCAGCCGATAAACTTTATTCATATCATATTACAGTGAGTGACAAAAATTAAGCTATTTATGATATATTAGTTAATTTATGATTAAATGCACTTAAATTTACAAAAAATACATACATATTAAACTATTATTAATTGTATACTACTTAGTGCGGTTGATGTGGTAAAATTATTATTATTAATGGACTTAAAACAGAACTTTAAAAAGTATGTATATTTTTACATGTTCAAGTTCCTCAATTGTGTGAAAATCATTGCAATGATTTTAAAAATTCTTTTCGAAACATATTTGAAGAGTCTCTAACATGTTAGTTTGTTTGATTTTCAAAGCCTTGGAACTGCAATTCGATTTTCGTTGAAAATTTGGATATATATCGTTTATTTATAGCGTAATTGTACAATGGAAATGCAGAATTCTCAGTTTTAATCAATTTTTGTAAATTAGATACATAGATAGATAGATAGATAGATAGATAGAGATAGATAGATAGATAGATATATAGATAGATAGATAGATCGATAGATAGCTAGCTAGATAGATAGTATAGATTAGATATAGATAGATAGATAGATAGCTCGCTCGCTCGCTGCTCGCTCGTCGCTCGCTCGCTCTCTCGCTCGCTCGCTCGCTCGCTCGCTCGCTCGCTCGCTCGCTCGCTCGCTCGCTCGCTCGCTCGCTCGCTCGCTCGCTCGCTCCTCGCTCGCTCGCTCGCTCGCTCGCTCGCTCGCTCGCTCGCTCGCTCGCTCTCTCGCTCGCTCGCTCGCTCGCTCGCTCGCTCGCTCGCTCGCTCGCTCGCTCGCTCGCTAGCTCGCTCGCTCGCCGCTGCTCGCCCGCTCGCTCGCTCTTCCCCCTGCCTTCCCGCTCCCCCCTCTTTTCTCTCTTGCAGCTGCCCCGCCGCTCCCCGCAACAATGATTGCCTTATAGTGACTGTAATGTCCCACGGTATGGAGGGAAAGGTATATGCTCGTGATATGTCCTATCCGGTAGAACGTTTATGGAATCCATTTTTGGGTGAAAACTGTAGATCGTTGATAAATAAACCGAAATTGTTTTTTATACAGGTAAGGATTTTTTACTTACAGATATTCCGACATTTATATATCATTTGTGACTTAATAACTAATCTGTATAAATATTGTTAGAGGATAAGATTTACTACAACTTCCGCTCTTTAAAAATTAGATATTTAAAAAATAAACTTTTATTTTTTATTGAACAGGCCTGTCGTGGTGAAAATCTAGAAAAGGCCGTTACATACGATGCCTTTGCGCCCATGTCGCGTACACTCAATGTGAATGCAGAGCCAGAGAAGCCACCCACAATCACGTATGCGATACCAAATACAGCCGATATGTTGGTTATGTATTCCACATTTGAAAGTAGGTTAAACGTATTAAAGTGTAACTGAACTGAATTTAGTTAAACAAAACATTATGTTTTTTAGATTTTACTATTTATATTTATTTTCTTTGTCTTCTCTTCTTTGTCTAATTCGTATGTGTGTTCTTTCCTTTTCTATTTTTATTTAAGAATATTACTCTTTCCGTAATGTTGAAAATGGTTCATGGTTTATACAGAGTTTGTGTTCGGTGCTAAATGAAGCCGCAGCCGGTGCAGCTCTTACTAAAGAGGGCGCTGAACTGTTACGTCTGCTAACTGCCGTCAATCGTAAAGTGGCCTATGAGTATCAATCGAATGCTAAATATGAAGCCCTTAATCAAATGAAAGAAATGCCAAATTTTCTATCGACCCTCACGAAAACCTTTTATCTGCGAGTGAAACGTATTAACAACAGTTAAACATATTCTGAAAGTGAATCATCAAATTTCTTTCCACATAATTAGACAAAAATAAAAAATTAAACAAATCAAAATTATACAACTACATTTAAGCAAATAAATTAATACCCACCATTTGGTCGGTGTTTATGTTTGTGTGAAAGTTTATTTATTATTCGTACATATTCGCATTATTACTTTTTTAAAAATAAAAATAAATTGTTACGTTTTATCTATAATTTTTTATGGTTTAATAACTTTTGTATTGTAACTAGTGACATAAATTGGATGTGTCATTCCATACAAATTTGGGGGATAATGAACGGGAATAAGGTAAAAAAATTATAGAATACATATATTTGCGAAAAGTTATTCATTTATAATTTCCATTAATAGAGACCGCTTAAAGCGACATAATGTCCATGGGCATTATGTCACTTTTTTAAAATGTCATAATGTCCATGGACATTGTGACACTTTTAAAACAGAAATGTATTGGAAAATTTGTTTAGAATTTAAGAAAGGGACACACATATCCCGAAAAGAACTGTTCCTAAATTTGGTGTATGTTGCATTTTTGATTATTTTTAAAAAGTGTCCTGAATAGCCGGCCTTCGGCCCGGCGCATTGATTTCAGACTCTGGTGAATTTCGAATACTGGCTTCGCTAAAATAAGTTGTCATAAGGTCTATACACATTATGACACTGGACATTATAACACACCACCACTAATTCTGAACTAGAACTGAACTAAAACTGAACTAGAATTGAACTAGAACTGAACTAGAACTGAACTAGAACTGAACTAGAACTAAACTAGAACTGAACTAGAACTGAAATAGAACTGAACTAGAACTGAACTAGAATTGAACTAGAACTGAACTAGAACTGAACTAGAACTGAACTAGAACTGAACTAGAACTGAACTAGAACTGAACTAGAACTGAACTAGAACTGAACTAGAACTGAACTAGAACTGAACTAGAACTGAACTAGAACTGAACTAGAACTGAACTAGAACTGAACTAGAACTGAACTAGAACTGAACTAGAACTGAACTAGAACTGAACTAGAACTGAACTAGAACTGAACTAGAACTGAACTAGAACTGAACTAGAACTGAACTAGAACTGAACTAGAACTGAACTAGAACTGAACTAGAACTAAACTAGAACTGGACTAGAACTGAACTAGAACTGAACTAGAACCGAACTAGAAGTGAACTAGAACTGAACAAAAACAGAACTAGAACTAAACTAGAACTGAACTAGAACTGAATTAGAACTGAACTAGAACTGAACTAGAACTGAAATAGAACTGAACTAGAACTGAACTAGAACTGAACTAGAACTGAACTAGAACTGAACTAGAACTGAACTAGAACTGAACTAGAACTGAACTAGAACTGAACTAGAACTGAACTAGAACTGAACTAGAACTGAACTTGAACTGAACTAGAACTAAACTAGAACTGAACTAGAACTGAACTAGAACTGAACTAGAACTGAACTAGAACTGAACTAGAACTGAACTAGAACTGAACTAGAACTGAACTAGAACTGAACTAGAACTGAACTAGAACTGAACTAGAACTGAACTAGAACTGAACTAGAACTAAACTAGAACTGAACTAGAACTAGAACTAGTATTCTTTTCAGAAAGGGCTTTCCCGACTGCAGGTTAATTTAGCCACAAATACAAACTCTGTATAAACCATGAACAATTTTCAGTTTTTAATATATTAATTAATATTAATTAAATACACATACTTACCAGAGATGGAAACTTGAATTTTTTTAAATATTATTTCTATAGAAAATTTTCCATAAATTTTCTTTTTATAGAGAATTTTCCAAAAAATTTTATTTTATAGAAGATATTCGATTTTTCAACTAAAATTTAACTTTGGAAAATCTGTCGATGGGGACCTGTTTAAAACTATTTGGCGATTATATCTACGAATGTAAATATATTGTTAAAAATATTAGTTTGGAGTAAAACGTAGTCTTTGAAATTAGACAAGATCAGTTGATCTAATAACTTAAAGTTTAGTTACTATGTTTAAAGTTTCCATGTCTGGTTCATATTCACATTTTATATAGTTTCATATAAAATGTATTATTCTTTATGAAAGCAGTATTTAATATACGTTCATGAAGAATAGTTATAAATTGTAAATAATATAAATTAATTTATATAAAATAAATATAAATTAAATTTGTACAACAAAAAAGACAAATTTAATAGAAATTTATACTTAAAATAATGGATCAAACCGATTTGTCACTGTTCAAGAGAAAACCTGATAAATATGAAAAAACTGACAATATTCGCAACGAACGGGATATCAACTGTACCAACTTAAAACAATTTGAAAAACAAAGAATAATTTCGCGACCCACCAAAGAAGATGAATATCGCAGTGATAATCCTCATGCGGGAGTTGCGCTCATTTTCAATCATAAATATAACTGGTGAACGGCAAAGAGAGGGAACTGAAAAAGATCGCGATGCTATGGAGCAAACTCTTTTAAATTACGGTTTTGATGTTAGAGTCTTTAATGATTTGACATGGAGAGAATTAAATGATGTTTTGGCAAAAAGTGAGTGCAAATTTATAAATGATCTTGAATGCATACTTTTATAATGATGTATTAATATTTATATAGTATTCTGAACTATACATGTATACATATAGTATATGTAATACATTGCGGTTACTGTGGTCAGTTATTTAATCAATTTATATGAATATAGATTTAAAAATACTATTTGTTGAGTGTTTTTCACTCATAGGTGAATCGAGTCAATTTAACATAACTGACATACATTTGACAAACATCTAGATCTGAAAAATATTTATCTTTCTCTTTTTTAGCTGCTCAAGAAGATCATAGCAATAATGATTGTCTTGTAGTAACTGTTATGTCTCATGGCAGTGAAGGGAGAATATATGCTCGCGATATCTCATATCCTGTGGAACGTTTGTGGAATTCATTTTTGGGAGAAAAATGTAGATCTTTGATAAATAAACCGAAATTGTTTTTCATACAGGTGAGAATTCAAATCGAAAACAATCTGAAGTTTGGTACGAACAAATCTTTCTCTTTACAGGCCTGTCGTGGTCAAAATCTAGACAAACATGTAATTTATTCAGGAGTACAGCAAGCATTTATAGAGCCAAGAGTAAAAGCTGCAGATATACCACCCAAATTTAGATATGTTATACCAAATACAGCCGATATTTTAATAATGTTTTCAACGTTTGAAAGTAAGTTAAAAATGTAAAAAGCAGAATTTATTTTATTTTTTTATATCTTAAGAATATAGCTCTTTCCGTAATGTCGAAAATGGTTCATGGTTTATACAGAGTTTGTGTTCGGTGCTAAATGATGCAGCCACCAATGAAGCTGTCTCCGTAAAGGGTGCTGAATTGTTACGCCTTTTAACGGCTGTTAATCGTAAAGTCGCCTATGAATTTCAATCGTTTAGTGAATATGAAGCCCTTGACCAAAAGAAAGAAATGCCCAATTTTTATCGACTCTAACGAAGACATTTTATTTGAGAGTTAAAAATGGATCTACAAATTAATTAAAATTTTCTTTAGAATATTTTCGATAAATTAATATTTTTTAAAGAAATTTAAAAAAAAAAAAATTCGATAAATTAGAAAATTTCGATAAAATTTCCGTTTAAAGAATACTTTTGTTAAGTTTCCTTTTTAAAGAAAATTTTCTCTAACTTTTCTTTTCATAAAAAACTTTATTCAAGTTTTTCTTTTATAGAAAACTTTCATCAAGTTTCTCTTTATAGAAAACTTTCGTCAAGTTTTTCTTTTATAGAAAGATTTCGTTCTTCAAATCTTTACAGAAAACTTTATTTAATTTTCCTTTTTATAGAAATCTTTCGTTAAGTTTCATTTTTTTAAAAAATATCATTCGTTAAGTTTCATTTTTTTAAAAAAATATCATTCGTTTAGTTTTTTTTTAAGAAAAATTTCTCCGTTTTCTTTTCATGGAAGGCTTTCATCAAGTTTACCTTTTATAAAAAATTATCGTCAAGTTTACCTTTTATAAAAAACTATCGTCAAGTTTTCTTTTTATTGAAAACTTTTGTCAAGTTTTCTTTTCATAGAAATTTTTATTTAGATTTTCTTTTTATAAAAATTTTTCGTTAAGTTTCTTATTTATAGAAAATGTTCGTTAAGTTCTCTCTTTAACTTTTTAAACATTCTTTAAACTTTTCTTTTATTGAAAACTTCCTTTGATAGAAAACTTTCGTCAAATTTTGCTTTTATTGAAATATTTTGTAGGCTTTCTTTATATAGAAAACTTTCTTTATGTTTTCTTTTATAGCAAATTTTCGTTAGGTTTCCTTTTATAGAAAATTTTTGATAATTTTTTTTTAAAGAAACTTTCATTAAGTTTCCTTTAATAGCAAATTTTTTAAAATTTCTTTTTATAGAAATTTTTCGTTAAGATTTTTTTACTCTTTAATTTTTCTTATTATAGAAAGGCTTGTTAGGCTTTCTTTATATAGAAAACTTTCTTTATGTTTTCTTTTTATAGCAAATTTTCGTTAGGTTTCCTTTTATAGAAAATTTTTGATAATTTTTTTAAAGAAAACTTTCATTAAGTTTCCTTTAATAGCAAATTTTTTTAAAATTTCTCTTTATAGAATTTATTCGTTAAGATTTTTTTACTCTTTAATTTTTCTTATTATAGAAAGCTTTTGTAAGTTTTCTTTTTATAAAAAAAGAACTTTCGAAAAGTTTTTTTCGCAAAGCAAATTTTCTTTATATAAAACTTTCGTTAAGTTTTCTTTTAATAGAAAACGTACATTATGTTTTCTTTTTATCGAACATTTTCGTTAATTTTTCTTTTTATATAAATTTTTCGTTAAGATTTTTTTACTCTTTAATTTTTCTTATTATAGAAAGCTTTTGTTAAGTTTTCTTTTTATAAAAAAGAACTTTCGTTAAGTTTTTTTCGCAAAGCAATTTTCTTCATATAAAACTTTCGTTAAGTTTTCTTTTAATAGAAAACGTACATTATGTTTTCTTTTAATCGAACATTTTCGTTAATTTTTCTTTTTATATAAATTTTTCGTTAAGTTTTTTTTACTCTTTA